TTTAAGTAATATAATTCGAAAAAATATATATTATATAAATCGAATTTTCCACCATCATTCATTCAATTGCCGGCGATCGTCTCCATCGCCCGTGTTGGGCCGCATGCGAACATGGACACTTCAGTGAGCGTCGTTGGCCATCGAGATGCTTCCTAGTCAAAATGCTTCGAAATGAGCGTGGCAAGTGTCGTGCTGGTTGGAGTTGCGTTCATCAACGGCAACCGGCGTCTGAACTCCATCCTGGTCGTGGATCATGGTGCAAGCCACAACATGAAGATCTCCTCGTAAAAGGACTGATCTCGGACTAAGCGACCAGGCGGACGATTGTCATCGCACAGGAGGCCACAACCGGAGTTGAACAAGACTGCTTCGTAGTGTCCTGCGGTCGGCTGTGACCCTTTGTGAGGATCCCTGCAATCACCTAGAATTCGTGCCAAATTATGGAATTATGGTCCAGGCCATCAAACACAGACATCAAGACTCGGTTGTGGTCCCAAGTCACTGCATGATCACGTCGAACGTTCAAAGCTGGATATCGTTCCAATTGAATACACACATATGGACTCTGGCCTCTCAAGGCATGAAGAAACGGTTCCTGCCTGTCATAGGTTTGCCTGTGGGGGTCGGCCTCAGGAGAATCGAGGAGATGGGTGCATCAATGAGCCACTATCCTCAGTGCTAGAAGTCAATCTGGCATCCCATGCATGAAGGGGACAAATGTTGGTCCGGCATCAAAACCTTTGCGAATATCTAGTCTCGAAGCCATCCGGCAAATTTACCTGCATCGTGTTGAGCAGGTGCGGGATGGGTGGTGAACCACTCTCGAAGGTGGTATGCCAAACAAGAGGTACTGCACGGAAAAAATAGCCTCCCCTGCATGAGTGGTAAACATGCTCAAAATTGGCTGTGTCCATGCGCCCCAAATATTAAGATCCACATCCGTGGTCATGATATTATTCCAGACCTGAGCTTGCAAGACAGAATTAATTTTGCACCAACTACCGTCACTTAGCAAGCTGGCGATCATGATTCCCCTCATCACCAACGGTGATCTCTGGAGATTGGATTGATGCATCCTCATCAGCACAAGCTGAGAAATGCCGTTTCCGGCCAACTTCAACAGCAGTGTATGCAGTTCCAAGGCCCCCTGGCCGCGTAGTGTCCTGGGAAAGGCTCTCTTGAGTCATTATACGAAGGGCAGCGAACTTCAAAATCAAGTTCGGATTCGGTCCCAATTAGTGAATCCTCTGCAGGGTCGCGCATACCTCCTTTGAAGTCAGCGGAGTCTTCTGATTCGGCTGGAGAGCTTTGGCTTCTGAGTTCCACGTGAGGTAATGCCATTTGTTATCCTCTGTCAGGATCCCCTTGGCCTTCAAGCACATGATGAGCGCATCGTCTTTCTGACTCAGCTGAAGCTTCCTGGCCCGACTGATCAATTCCTAGAAGATCGTCAAAAACATGGTCTGACGAAGTGAGGTCGATGCGTCGCCATTTTGCCTTTGTATTTTCCATTGCCGGCCTGTTTCGGCCAGTGTTGGCATCAATGATCCACGTCCGCATTAAAGGAACATCATCAGGCTGCGGTCTAGCCCCAATTGATTCAGGGTATCCTCCTGGCGCAATGCCAGCCGTGCCACCATCTGGATCAAGTCTTGACCCCTGCCATCTGAGGTGCTGGCTGAGGAGCTCGAGCTCCTTTTGCGCCGCTCCCGGCCATGCTTCTGCTAGCCATTAGACAATGTGTCGATGCGTTGGCGTTTGAGGAACGCATCCGAGCAAGTCCTCAAGAAATCCTCGAAGGATTGATCGTCCCCCGTTTGCTGTTCCATGGTGCAACAACAAGGCAGATTGAAGAGCATTGTTTCGGGCCAGAATCTGTGTAATGGCAACGAATATTTGCTTAATTAGATCAAATTAATCCCGAAAAGATTCATGAATGCACTTCTGCTCAAACAGGGCTACCGGTCGTTCGGCGCTATCCAAGGTCCAGGCCCAAGCTGTCGGCTGTAGATCACGAATTGCGTGGACAAATTGAAATGCCTGGTCCGTTTGGAAACACGTCTGAGGCAATTCAGGAAAGTGGGCCATCCACTGCAAGGTGTGGTCAAACCATTGCAAATTCTGCTGTGGAAGCGAATGCGGCGTGTACAGAAATGGAAACCAGCAGTCAATAAGATCCAGGGTGGATCCAACAGGCTCAGTCCCAATCAGGCCTGTTGAACAAAGGTCGAAGTACCTGTACAGCACTGCGAGCAGAGACGGCGCAAATAAATCATGGCCAAATTGGGACATGGGGGATTCAGATTCTGCAGGACCAAAAAATATCTTACGAGTCCATTGACATGTCAGGACAGGCATGAGCCTCTTTTGAAGTGGGTAATCAAGGTCTATTCCATGGGGAAATGACTGTAGTATCGGCACGTGAGGCTTCCTAGCAGCATATCCCGTTCCGGCAGAAAAGTAAAGGCTTCACATTTGATTATTTGGTGTTTATGCCTAAAATGTGTCCACAACATGTTCCTTCCCATAACCTCCTGGCATGTGGGACACTCGTCTGCGGAGCATGAAGAGGTTCCTGCGCAGGAGCATTGAACATCTGCTGAACCGTCATCTAATGGCAAATCTTCCGGTGGGCCTGTGGCATACGATCGAGTTCAACAACAGAGGAATGAATCTGTTGTAGATGTTAGATAAGACCGGCATTCGTGCGGAAGACCATGTGGCATTGTGTGCATTTGTGCAGACAACTAAGACCTGTGGACGGTCGAATCGGTTCATCATCCAGGATTTGGGTTGCAAATGCAAGATCTGCTGTGCGTGGTCAAGTGCGGTTCGCCCCATGGGGTCACCTTGATTCTGGGGGTCATCAGACACAATTGCAGTCTGACCACGGATCATGACTGTTATGATGGGGAAATGGGAGATATCGTAAGTCTAATCCAACATGATATTCAAGTGCATGAGAACTCCACATTGGTGCTATTGAACATTATTGCAGGCTTGACTGCACAAAACACTTGAGAGGAGGGAGATACGAAAGGTAGGACAGCGGGAAGAGAAAAGAACGCGAGAGGCAGGAACAAAAATGCAATCTTCGACATGATGATTTATCCCCTCGGAGGCGACCATTCGTAAATATAAGTTCATACGCACTCTAAATGTTCAAACATATGCTCTCGAAATGTTCAAAAAGATTCTTAGGAAAACAAATTTGCTCCATGGCTCAAATCATCGATGAACATTGAATCGGAATATCATAGGATTTGAACTATCCTGAAACCATAAGAGGCTCACGAAGACGTTCCCCAGGAGAGAATTGACGCGCTTCACAAAACAAACTCTAAGTATAGTATATATCCCCTCGGGAACATCTTTCGTGATTAGAATTTCATATGCACTCTTTCTGAATATTCAAGAGGGTTTCAAGTATCCTGAAATCATGAGAGGCTCACAAAGACGTTCTCCACGAGAGAATTGAATTTAGAGGGGGGGGTCGGTATTGAAAAATCACTTCTCCGCGGGGGGGGGTCTGTATTGAAAAATCAATTCGAAGGGGGGGACGGGGGGGGGCTTGAATTGAGCGATCAATTATTAGATTTGGACGAGCCGACACTTGCTTCGCAAGACAAACTCAAGGTATCCCCTAAAGGGCTACCTTTCGTGACAAGTGTCCCGACCATTATCCAGATTCGCAAGTCCGTTGGCAGTAAGCACAATGGTGTGCCAATTAGGTCATCAATATTCAATAATAAATATGGGATATTCTTATATCATACCCTAGACCCCTAGCATACCTATACCCTCCATACCGGCAGGAATAATAAAGTATTATTCCTGGTACCTTCCAGATGGATTTCAGAAATTATGCCTAGAACTCAGCAGTTCGTGGGATAATTGTTAAGAAGCATATTATATGATAGCAAAAGGTATGCCTCAAGCATCCTGGAATCATTAATTGAAAATTATTTAAGAATTTTATAGTCTCTGAAGGGTGTGGCCAAATTAATGACATGAGTTCTGCCGCCGGATGTGGCAGGCATCTAGTTGCAGTTTGTTTTAACAATTGATCGAAATTCCTTCATTGGCAATAACGGACGGCCCTCATGTGGTAATTATTCTAATCCACCAGCAGGTACCATCCCCCCCATACCCAGGCAGGAAAATTATTCCATCAATTGACGGTACCCTGGAATAATTTCCCAAGGTCTAGGGTATCTTATATCTAAAATGCATAAAAAGGCCTAGACGATCATAAATAAATACGACCATATCCTAAAGCGGCTTGGAAAAAAAAAAAAATTCGTCGATTAATATAATCACGAAAACAATAAAAATCAATAAATATATTTTTATAATTTCTATCCACGAAATTACCATTAATCGTAGCACGAAAAAACATATTAAAATGAACCGAATTACATAAAATTTAATATTATTCACGAAAATATCATTTATATAAATCTACCTAAATAAAAATTCAAAAATATTTATAGCATTAAAAAATAAATATCTAAAAATATAAATCAACATCAATATATAGAAAGCACATATAAATTTCAAGGTAATTTAAAATAGATATTCCTATATCCATAATTAAAATCCGATATAAAGAATCCCAAAAAGTAAAATATCTATTATAATATCTTTACAAACAAATTCAAAATAATTCCAATCCAACATTATCAAAAAAATCCTAAATAAAATATATTAAACAATCAAAAATATATAATAAATTCCCAATCCCAAATATAATACCCAACCACAAAAAAAATAACAAACACACAACTATAAACAAATAATCACAAACACACAATCACAAACACAACCACAAAAACAATCACAAACACACAACTACAAACAAACCATCACAATCACAACACACAATAGGCACTACTCCATCCTACAAAAAGATTGATGATCATTTTTAAATGAATTGATATATTATTTCATTATTTATATAATATATACATTTAATTTTTGATTATTGATTTGGAACCGAATCATATTTCAGCCTTGTTCCAATCTGCAATCATTGCCCGTCGTTCCTGCAATTCTGTAAGTTGAAATCCATTGAAGCTTGCTGGACGGTCAAAAAGTAACTCTTCCAAATCGCCTCCATTGTCTGGACCTTGGTTTGGACGTGCACCTGCCAAGGAGTGTTCTTCATGCAAGATCTTATTACAACAAGGAGGGTGAAGTTTCACATCAGTACCATGCAAACGGACCCAGAACGACATCCCCAAATCCAGGTCTGAAAGCATGCAAAAACGAAATCTCCGAGGTCGACTGTCACTCTGATTGTCATGCCAATTACCAATCAATTACATTTACCTAGCAGTTGATGTCCCCCAAAATGAAGGTGTCTTCCATGTCCATCGGCCCAGCCTTCCGCTTTTTTCCCGTCTGCCCAGCCAGCGCAGCCTTTGCACCTCGCGCCGAACGCTTCTGCCGAACGCTTCGCTTTTCACGATTCCGAAGGAGCTGTTGGGTGAGGGCGAAGGACGGGCGAATGAGGGCGAATGGACCCCAGATCCCAAGCAGAAATGGATGGAACTCCCGTGTCCCAGCCATTTTAGATGTAAAGGATCTCAAGCCGGAACAACCATGTCGTTTCTGGTTGGGACTGGGTTTCAGGAGGGTGAGCGTAGTTGTTGCTTGTCCTGTTGTCCTGTGTCTATTTGTTGTCCTGTACTGCGTTTCGTCCGTTTCGTCATGCTCGTCCGACTGCGGTTTCGACTTGACACAAACAGGCAACACCATCTGCATCGGTTGCATTCCCCAAACACTCCGATGGAACATCTGCCTGGACCTCATTGGACCTCCATTTCGACCACGACTGAAGCCACACACTGAAGCGAACTCTCGCCTGAACCCTCACACGCCTCGCCTGCGTAGTCTGGGTGAGCCTCGTACATCTGCCGGACGATGTTTCTCTTCACCGCCTCGCGAGGCGTATGACGTACTTGCGCCGCGCGACGTTTTTTTCGGCGAGGCGAGAAAAGGTCCCCCCGGTCTCCACCGGTTCCATCGGGCACGCTCGGTTTTTTTGGCCATGACTGGCAATGGCTGGGAGCTAATGATAGGCCAAACGACTGGAAGATTGTAAGTTGGTCTCGGTTTGAAGTGCGGCGAACCCCTCTCCAACCCTCCTTTCTGGCCAGCTGGCCTTCTGCGAAAAGTCTGATCCTTTCCAAAGTTTGATGACGGGGAATGACATGCAAATATGCCTTTGGTGTGTCCCATGACCAGCCACAGTGGATGATGATGGTTCGTAATTAAAGGGCCTTTCTCGAAAACAGTATTTTTTTGCCGACTGTTACTCGCAATAGGACGGACCCAAGACATGCAAAGACATGTGGATTTCGGTCCGCTGAGCGGGGCGCACCTTGGGGATATGTTTGATGTGCATAAAGTTGCACATGCCCCCTCTGGCACATCGAGTCTCGTGGAAGGCTCTACACCTTGCTTCCCGAAAGTCCATGACAGGACTGTACCTCCAAGGAGTGTTTGCGTCAGCGGCTGAGTGTTTGAGAGCCAATGTCATGAGCAACACAAGGAGGTGCAAAGATAGCTAACTTGTTGTCCGAAGCTTGGATGGACGTAACCTTTTGAGATCTGTTTGATTATTTTGTTTCCGGCTACATTCATTAAGTTGCACTGGCCATCTGGTGTTCGCATATTCATGCACTTTAATCTGAAGATTTTCATGACACAACATTTCACACGAGCATGCATACGCCTAACTTACAGTGCTTTCAACCACCATTAAGCGCATGAGAGCCATAAACAGGACGCCGTGGCAAAGCCAACTAGCAAAGCCAGAATTGATCAGCAAACATCAGCAAACATGATACATGTAAAAGTTAAGAACTGCGTTCTTAAACCAGCTTTTGGGGCACTCCACAGTGATCAAGCGGCTGCCATAAAAGCGATTTGCCATCTGCTGGGCTGCCTGAGGGAGAGTTAGTTTTGGTGCCACTAGCATTCATGTGTATAACATACATAAATATATATATTTGTAATACTCTATATAGCGAGAGAGAGGGCCGGAGTTGGCCTGAAATAGAGGCAAAGCAAAACCATCCTCCAATCCCGTCTGGCAGCTTGTTTCCATCGTTCTCAAGCGGTATACAATGGTATAGTTGTACAGGGCTTAAAGGTCCATCAACTTGAGGTGACCATTGCCTTAGTGTATAAAGTTGCAACATGTTGCAACTATTAGAAGCTTCAAATCTGTTTCTCTACCTTTTTATGTCGTTGACCCATCAGCTGCACGAGATCGAACGCACGAAAGCATACACCTCCACAGAAGACATGACAGCCTTGTCAGCATCGCTCTCATTGAAGTACCTGAGACAAAAATGTGCACAGAGACACAAAGCAAAAGCCAGCTTGAGTTGCAATAGTCCTCATACGTTGCGAACAGAGTCATGCACAGTGGATGAATTGCAACATTGTTCTTGAAGGGATATGGACTTGCCGGCACGTTTCGTGAGTCCCCATGTTGTGAAAAGACTATACAAAACATACAAAATACACTGCAAAGATCACGTCGATGCAAAAAAAGGCAGAGGTGATTAAATCGCCTGGTTCAAAGAGGTACTGGAAGAATCTCCTGTTTAGATCGTTGTCGTCGACGAGCATCCAAAACTTTATATTTACACCTTTGCGAACATACATGGAAATACCATGGGTCCCATTGGGCAGCTAAGCTTTTGCCTAAAGTCTTAGTGAACACTTAGATATAGAATGATGGAAAGAAAGACTTAGGATGCGATAGATCGTCAAATGATTCATCGGAATCCCAGAAGAGTACACAAATGATAACGTTTAAGTTCTGTTCATATGACTCCGGGATCATCTGGCGTGAGCTAATGATCTTTGGGTGTCCAGGAAACTAAGCAGAAACATGTCCACATTGCTTTTGCAGCCTGTAAAGTGCAAAAGATTCCAGCTGGTCAAATGTGGAAAGCGATCTTACATATGGCTTGGTGACTGTGTTTTCACACAGGCTGTACTAATCTCATATGGGCAACACATCATTAACTTTCAGCCTGTTTGATAAATGTCAAACTTGCAGTAACTTGCACTCAAAACACCTGGCAATCTTTATCATCCCTCGCGTGTTGCGATCCGTGCCCCGAACGGCAACCGCACCACGACCCAGGTCACTTGCAGTAGACGTTGCCAAGCATGTGCTCAGAGACATTGTCTATGACGACCATGTCTTCGATCTGGATGCAACAGCTCTCACGCTGTGCAAGAAAACGAGGATGCAACACGGTCTATGCCGCTACCCGTAAGCCAAACTGTGCAAAACTGGCAAAAGCTATGCTCAAAATGCACGTTCTTCTTCTTTTGGCTGCACACTGCACTTCTATTTTGGTATATTGTTGTCCATGCAAAAGCCAGCCGGACTGACCAATGTTGATGCTGATTCTATTCCCTCAAAGCTGGTTGGAGCGTGGGTCAGGAGTCTGGCGAAAAACAAAGACCACTCGCACAATTCTGCAAGTGATCTTGTGAAACGCCACAGCAAGGTGTGCGGCATGCATGCTTCTGCATGCTTGCTAGCAATATCCATGATGCTGGTTTCGGCATGATGCAAGGAGGAAAACACCTCTTCACTTATGCCCGGACGACTAGGTTTCACACGGTTCTTGTTCCAACATGTTCCAACGGTCTTCATCATTGAGATCCTCTGCTCCAGCATCTTTGGAGCGTTTTCAGAGCTCTCACTTCCCTTTCAGCCCAAGGGGATCGTCGTCGTCCTCCTGGGCGAAAAACCATTGAAATCGTCGTCAGAGCCCGGTCTGCGCGGTCCATGGGGTCCGGTGCAGGTCCGGTCTGGCTGTCTGGCCACAGTCGTTGGTTACAGTATGTTACCCCACACCCCGACACACACACACACACAGATTATATATGCGCACCCACGCCTACACCTGCCCTCTTCCAGCAGGAGCTTTCTGATTCATGTGCTGTGAGAAAAGCCGGCTGGAACGCAAAGTGCTGTGTCATCGGAGCAGGCATGGTTTTTGTGCAAGCAGCTTGCTCGAAATCCGGTAGTCAAACATATATGAGTCTATAGCTCAAATAGGGGACCCCCCAGTTCGACCCCCTGGAAGAAGGGACATAGCACGGCCATGAGGGTTTCCCGGACCTCTTAGGTCGCTCACACCCACATATCCCACATTGGGAGTGGCCTGGCTTGCTTAAATGGACTTGATCAGGATTGTTGCCAACACTCCGAGAGGCGTGCCACCCTCCACGCTGGCCTCTGCATCAGAGAACTCCATAGTATCCAGGCGCTCCTGGCAGCATCACCTAATCAACTTTCAGCCTTCCAGTAGCTATTGACTGCTATTGAAGAATGGGTTGTTCTAGAATTCTAGATCAAGTCTTTGCACCGAATCAACTGGAACCCGCTTAAGCCGACCGATCTGCATCGGATCGGAGGCCCTAAGGGTCGATCATCATCTTGGCTCAGCCGAGCGAGGACCAGGAAGCGGGGCGTAGCGAATTCGGGGCGAAGTCCCAAACAAACATGGAACATGTCCTTCCGCCAGGCTCGCGGCGCGGAGCGCAGTGCAAGCCAACTTGACCCCAAAGGTCGACGAGGATCAACCTTGCCCCCTCCCCAAAAGCAATAGACAAAACCATAACTCTTTGGATGTGTGTCTCATCTTTCTCCCAAAAAACAGGAGCAACAAATACATTTGCAGCACATGATTCCTCCATTCTCTCTCTCAACAACCACGCCATCGCTTGCTTCTTTGCTTCGATCCCTTGGTGCCGACCCGCCCCCGTCCCCATCATTCCCCGTCGCCGCGCGGGCCAGCTCGGCCGCCGTCGCGAGCTCGGCTCCTTCATGGACATCCCTTCATGGCGATCGCTATACGCGACGGCCGGCGCCTCGCGGACGATGCTCCGCCGACCGCGGACCGCCCGCGATCCGGGGGGGGACGGGGTCGGTCGGTGCCTGCGCGGATGCCGCGGGGGGGGGTTCTGTGGAGGAGGTCGGTGGTGGTGAGGTTCCAAATGGTCAAGCAGCCACTTTTTTAAGGTCCAAAAAGGTACCAGAGGAGGGCCAACGACCTGGTATATGACCTGATTGATAGAACTGCATCTTTGCGGATTGTTGAAAGTTGGAAGACTGTGACTATGAATAGAAAAAGAACAAAACCGCCTGGACTGACAGCCTGGAGCAACAGACTTCATACAATCGGTGTCATCGGGTATCATCGGGCTCACATTTAAAGGCACACATTGATTCTTGCCAACACCTGTTTGATACTGTTACTGTTACTGTAGAAAGCGTTTCCATCCGCTTCATCTCATCGAAATGCCCCAGCCGTCCGCGAAATGGTCCAAGGTACAGCAGGGGCAGGGATCGAGGCTGCGCCAGTCGCATACCCAAAGGAACCTGCAGCAAACCGAACCAAAAAAAGGCTTGGATTTGCCCAGGCGCAGCGGCCCCAGGCACATGGACAAATAATGGAAATAGATGTTGGACATGGATGTGGGTGGCTGCACCTATCTGCACCTATTGCACTATTTTTTGTACTTGACCAAACACTTTATATACAACTCAATCAAGGAACCATCGAGATCGAATTAAGATCTCAAGCATTCTCCCCAGCTTGGGAGCAACTCTTGACACCTACATCACGGCCCACTTGTTCTGACACACCTGCATAGAATTTGCGCCTGATATTGTTTGATATCATTTCAATGACTGTTGCTTAATATGGGACACCTCCACATTGTCTTGTTCGGGGCGGCCTTTCGGCTCATCATCGCTTGCAGATGACATGCTTCCATCCTGGCGCGGCAGGGTTATGTTATGGCTACATATATACTATAGAGTTCACCTGCAAAACAGGTCCACGGGTGTAAGCAACTCAAACGGAGAAAAGCAACACACCAAGTGCTTGCGCCAGCTACAAATGTAGCGTGGCAGCGTGCTTCCTGAAGTGGTTGGTACATCGAAGGGCATTAGTAGACGGGTCGGCCACCCATCGGTGCAGGTTTACCAAATCCCAAGACCACCTTGTGACTGCTTTATCCATCACTGCCAGTGCAACGCATATATATATATATATTGTCCAGATGCTACGTACAATTGTTAAAGAAGAGCACTCCTTCTGCATTGTTCTTTCTCCATCTTAAAAACACAACACAGTATCTTGTGCTCTATGCTTTCCGTTCTTCAAGTTCTACTCTGAAAATGGCAGCATATGTTGATGACTCCACTCAACTCATCTCCATGTTTGAAACCGAGTTTGGAACCTCATCTTCCGCGAAGCCGAAGTCAGCTGCCTGTGCCAAGGTTTTGTCTGGGTCTACACTAAAGTCATTAAAATGTCTGAAATGGGTGGAGCTCGACGCTCCTGAAACGTTGCTTGACCTCCCATATGGACTCCCTACTCCGCCCTACATACTGATCCTCAGTGTTTGCTTTTTGATGCTAATTACTATGTTATTGATCCCTACACTCATAGTTTTGAGGCGACTGAAGATACTAAAGATACTGTGAGGCTTTCATGGTCGCTTCCATGTCATTTCGCTAAGCTTCCCCCGCCTGCAAGACCACGGGACCTGCTTCCTCTACCAGAGTCGCAGCCTCTGGCATTGGGGCCCCTGGCGCACCTGGCGTGGCAGAGATCGACCCACATGGAACCTGAAAACCACCGAACCGGAGGAAGCTGAACCTTCCTTGCAGGTCCATGGCATCAGGTTCCATGCTCATCTTTCCGGGTGTATGATGGTCATGATTTTTCTCTGAGGAGCCACACTTCACAAACTGTGCTCAGACAAGATACACAAGCTCAGCACTTGACGCCAAACACTCCATTTCTTTCCATTGGCAGAACACTCCGTCAGTTGAGCTAGTTGCCGTTTATCGCGTTTGTGAAGTGGTTCGCACCAACCATTGCTTAGTGATTCGCGCCGTGATGAGCACACCTGTTGACTGCATGTGTAGTGGGCGTTCGGCAACAGACTCCTTCAAAACTTGCGGCAGAAACTCCAAATGTTTTATCTATATCGTATATATATATAATGTACTCATGTGTACTCATCTATAGTATACTCTCTCTCTCTCTCTCAAATTGATGCGGCAGAAACGTCTGCATCTTTGACCTACCCCCACCTTCCAAGTGTGGACATTCTTGGCTGGGGGAAGCCTTTAGCTAGAAACAGAAAAAAACTTGGGAGAAGCCTGTGTGAGACACTGCACTGCTGGAAACAATAAATTTCAAGATGAAAACATGAAGCAAGATCCCAACGCAAAAAAAGACGTCTCAGTTCAGCCAACGTGGGCGACACATTCTCTGCAAGTGAGCTGGGAAACCTGTGTCCAGAACCCTGACCACGCCATGTTGCTCCGGGGGGGGCTCTTCCAATCCGCATAGGTATGACTGACTCTTCCCCTCGCCCTCCCTCCCAATGACTAGAAGAGAACGCCGCTTCTCAGGTCTCCCCACTGTGCTCCCGGTCGTCCGAAGACCGAAGCGAACCACACCGGGCCGATCGGCCCCGTCCTCCACGCTCAAATCCATGAAGGTCCTGGAAGACCGGTCCGACGGACACGCGGACCGGATCGGAACGCCCGGTCCGCGTAGGGCTGCCGGGTGGAACCCGGGCTGGTGAAAAGGCGACGGGTGCAGCGGAAGAGTGAACACATATCGGATGAACTTCGAGTGCAACATGTCCAAGAAGGTCATGCGAACGCCAATGATTGGACGTTTTTAAGAACGCGACATCAAGCGACATCAAGTACCCGCGGTCCCTCTCGCAGGCGGTGGAGATACTTCACCGTCCGCATCACCTGCGTGTAGTGGAAGCTGTGCGAGCGACGTCACATGGAAGTGGAAAACCACCCTGTTTGTAGCGGAGAATGGTCATCCAACAGGCAATTTTCCACTTCCATGTTAGTGAGTCTGAGGGTACCCTCCACTCTGCTTCCTCAAAGGAACATCAAGAACTTCTTCCCAAATAAGAAACTCTGGAGCCAGATGATGTCCTGAAGTGCAGCGCAACTTCTAACACACTGAACCAGCAACGTATTTATCACCACTGGAAATGCGTGGAAGCTCTATACCCCTTTGGTCGCTCCACTCCATGTTTTCAGCAACCACCCACACCTATTATATATAGACCTAATGACTTTCATTCTGGGCACTCACTAGGACCCACAATCTTCAAGCCAGTGTCCTAGCAATGTCATGGCTTT